CGGGATTTGTATGACCCCGCCGCCGCATCTCTATTTTGGTGCGGCTTTCAAAAGCCGCAGTTTGCCCGTCCTTTTTCCCCCCTGTGTGGCAGGGACCTCAGGGAATCTTCCTTCCTTCTGGCTTGACACCTTCTCTCTACACTATACTGCTCCATCTTGGCACCGTGAGGGCAAAACATGCTTCCTGCATCTCTACCCATCCTAGCTGAAGAAGTGAACAGTGACTCATGAAAGCTGTGGGGCTTCTTCTTCTTCTTCTTTGAAAAAGAGGTGCCAGAACGCTCAAGAGGGAAATGAAGTTTTCAGTCTGTATACTGAAAACGCATGAACTTTTAAACATTTAAAAAAGATTTTTTTTTCAAAGACGTTCTGAAACTCTGTTCCCATACATTCCCCCAGGAAAAAAAGCCCTGACCTGCCACATATTTTGTTAGTCTTTAAGGTGGTTCTGGACTCTTGTTCTTTTCTGCTGCTACAGACAGATTGAAAAGGCTACCAACTTGATCTACATCCTAGTTACACTAGATTAGAACCCTGTCTCTAAGTCTATCCTGTCTAGAATAGAGTTCCTTACAATAAAGGGCTCATATTAGTTTTGCAAAGATAAAGAGGTTCCATGTCTAACTTTGTTTCTTGTCAGCACACACAAACCAGACAGACTGTGCTGCATTGTGTGCCTTGAGCACTCTGCTAACCCAAATAATCCTTCAATGCAGGCCTCCTGGACATCTCCATCATCCTTTCTCCACCAAGATACTCCAAGGTGCACAGAACACCCATGGCCCCAGGGTGTCTTCCTTTTTTGCCCTTCCAGTACAGAACAATTGCATACTGTACTGCAACCTTACCTTCCTCAACAGGTAGTAATAGTAAGTTTGAGTCCAGGGTCACCTTTAAGGCCAATGAAGTTTAATTTGGGGTATAAGCATTAATGAGCATGCAGACTTTATCAAATGAAGTATCTGATGAAGTACCTGAGGAAGTGCGCAGGCACACAAAAGCTTATACCGAGAATTAAACTTTGTTGATCTTAAAGGTGCCTCTGGACCAAAACTTTGTTCTGTTGCTTCAGACCAACACAGCTACCCACCTGAATCTAGGCTGTAGTAGTGTTTCACAAATATGAAAGGAGTGCCAAAGAGGCTACAAGCCTTTCAAACAGAATGGACTCCCACTGAGTATTAGTAAAGAAACCTTTGCTGCTGAACATCAAAACATTCTTCACCACTTAGTGGTATTCCCTAATTGAACATTCCTTTTGTATTCTCTTTTTGCAAGATCAGAGCCAGGGGACACAGCAGCAAAATAAACTGTGATGGGAGCCAGTGTTCCAGTGCAACTCCAGCAAAAGATGGGGAACCGGTGAGTAGAAAATTCTCCAAGACTTCTTTAATCAACCCTCTTCAAGGCCTGTTGGTTTAAGGCTGTAACACCATAGAGGACAGTGAAATTTGCAATGTGGTAAAGGAAGGAGCGAGGATAGCCCTTGTACACACTGTGGAGCATCTCCCCCATCATGAGAAAGGTGTTTGCCAGTAGCCCTGACAATTGCTGCTGAAAGCTTTTCTTTCCGATGTCTGCTTTAAAGATTGATGTGTAGGGAGGAGAGAGTGCTTAAGTAAAATGCTTTCACAAGAAAGGGGTGCATCCATGTTAGGCCTCCAGGGTCCCCATAAAAAGGCCAGAGTTCAGCCGCTTCACAAGCCTTTGTTGGCAGAAATCAGAACAATACTGGCTTGCAAGAACTGGCTTAAGCTTTGCTGGCTTGTGTTGGGTTTTGGAATATGAACTGTGTTATCAGTGTGGGAACTGAGATGACAGGAACCAATAAGTGGGCCCATATCCTTATGCTCTTTATAAGTTCGTTCACATCCCCCCTTTGTATTTAAGAATAATAAATACTCAAGGCAGCTTGTGATACTGAAATCCAAGCAAAAAGTTAAGATAGCAGCTATTAAAAACTTGCAAACACAGGGGACAGATACAGCTGCAAACAGGCCTTCCGGAATAATCAAAAAAAGTTTGCAGCTCATGTCACGAGGTCTCTAGAGAAGCAACTGCCCACAGTGCAAGGGGGAGCCAGTGCTAAAGAGTGGGGGGAGGCCCTACCCAGATAGCCCTCACAGGGATTCCCACTGGTCAGATTTCTCCAATAGGAGTTTCCCACAATAAGACTTTCACACAGTGTATGCCAGTAAATATGTGTGGAGGCCGTCTACAGCCAATCTGGCCGCCTGGATACAGGTCACGATAACATTGAGATTAGACTACAGTAATGCATTCTGCATAGGTCTCCCCTGAAAGTCAACTCAGGCCTCAGTCACACGGGCCGGATATTGTGGGGGGAGGCGTGGCTGTTTGCCCCGGAGCGAAGTACCGCGCGGCAGCCGGATCAAACGTCCCGCCCGACGTCCCGTGGTTGGGGGGAGGTGCCGATCATACCTCACTCCTGCGG